CTGGTTCAAATCGGTTCAGGGTTATTTTTTTTTTTATATATATATGAGTGAGTGAATTAGGTATTTGCTAAACGCTACTGTTTAAACTCCAAGTGCGTTCAGACTCATTTTCATTGCCTATGAAAATGTCAACAGCAACTTCTGAATCTTAAATGGTTTATTAATTAGAACTATCCTCAAGTTCTTCTTAAATATGTAGAAAGTTTCGTTAGAAAAATATCAAAATTTTCATCAACATAAGCTTTGAACTAATTGAAATACTAATTAGATTTATTTTTCTTGGCATACTTAAGTACGCCTACTGTAGTATGTGGTTTGTGTGTTGGTGGACCTAAATATTATTAGCTCGATTGCTGTACAACATATCTTATATAACATACATAACATCACGCCTTTTATCCCCGAAAGGGTAGGCAGAGGTGCACATTATACCACTGTGCAATGTAACACCCACTTTTCACTTTTTATGTTATGAGTCCCATGTAATAGGGGGTGAGCCTATTGCCATATAATGGGCACAATTCCAGTCTCCGTGCTACTACTGAGAATATTTAAAAACCCAGTAATACTTCGCCCGACCCGGGAATCGAACCCGAGACCCCTTGCTCGGCAGTCGCACTTACGACCACTCGGCCAAAGAGGCAGGCACATATCTTATATACTTAAATACATATAGTGTACTATTACTAGCTGACCCGGCAAATTTCGTACTGCCTAATTTTTTTTTCACCTTTTAGACCTTCCCTGGACTTCCACGAACATTTCAAGACCGTAATTAGCCAAATCGGTTCAGCCGAACGGAAAATCATTTTTACTTAGACACATATAAAACTGAAGTGTGTGTTTGTTTAAACGCTCTTATCTCCGGAACTACTGGTGTGATTTGGACAATTCTTTTTGTGTTGGATAGTGCATTTATTGAGGAAGGCTATAAGTTATAAAACACGCTAAGACGAATAGAGCCCGGTACAGCGGGTGAAACCGCGCGAAACTAGATAGTATAATTGTATATGGGTAACCAAAACTTTATTTACTAATGACTACCCAGTGCCGTGGCCGTAAACGCGACGGCCTAAGCAATGATTTTTGGGTTAAATTCCCAATTTATTAAGATTTTTGTTGTGTAAGTTCGCCAGTGGTCACGACAGAATAGAATACATTTGTTAAAGTCCCTGCTCTTCCTCTGGTTGCCAACTAAGAGACTACGCATTTGATAAAGACTGGGCAGGACCGTCGATCTATATATCTATGATCATGGCAAGCCCACTCATGTGCAAGACACTATCAGAGTCTAACATAGCTGTTATCTATTGGTTATCTGTAACTTTCAATTCAAATTTTCAAAGTGACCTCGATCGCATTCTCGTCCATCATTGGTCGAGATTATTCTCCAAACCAATGACATGACGGACCGGGATCGAGGTCACTTCGACGATCTTACATATTGAAAGGTACAGAATACCCTAGCAGTGGCCTGTCAGGAGCAGTAGGTTATGTTGCTGCACACATACACATACTTTTTTAAAAAAAAAACTAACCTTTGCAATGACGAAAATATGAAAAGCCAGCTACTTTGATAAATGATTCTGATTAATGATTTTCGTTGACATCGTGTAATTATTTCATTTAAAACAAAAGCTACCCGTCTACAATTACTGTTGTCGACAAGTGCCTGTAGCTGGTAAACACATATCATTAGCTATTGACTGACTGAATGATGGGGACTATTAACCATCCATTACACTTGCCAAGGACATTTTTAAAGCTTTCTAGTAATTTTCACTTAAATATAATTCTTTTTTTAAATAGATTTGACATCGTTTAATTTGAAAAGTGAATATTGGAATTACTCTTCTGTTTAAATTAAGAATGTGAATACAGTCGTCGAGAAAGGTGTGATGGAAGCGGTTATCCCAATGCTGACCTTTTTTGTATACACCTATCAAAATGGTACAATTTTTTTCGTGAATTCTGTGCTCTTATCTTTGCGGCACTGCAATGCCGGGCCGACCCGTGGCTTTTGTGACGCAAGCTTCAAATCTCGCCAACTTTACAAAAATACTTAATAACTTATCCCCCTGTGAGGCCCGGGTGTCATCACTGCGAGGACCGCCCTGAGGACACGGTGAAACACACCGTAGCGGAATGCCCTGCGTGGGCTGAGCACCGCCGTGCCCTCAGGGAAGTGATCGGCGATGGCGACCTCTCGCGTCCGGGCCTAGTGCAGGCCATGATGCGGAGCGAGGGGGACTGGGATGCCGTCTCCTCCTTTTGCGAAGCAGTCATGCTAGCTAAGGAGGAGGCGGGACGCGTGAGGTAGCGAAGCGCTGCCTCCTCGCAACCCGGCCATCGCGAAGGACACACCGGGCGTCGGGGATCGCGGGACGATCTCCGGCCACCGTAAGCGCGGGCCTGCGGACGGCGAGCATGGGTGGCTCCCCGTCCGACCAGAAACAGACCCGAGCGTACGGCGCGTCGCGTTCCGCGCGCGCCTCAAAGAGCCATCAGACCACCACAGATGGGGCCCAATAGGGCCGATGCCGATTCGGAGTCGCGGAGAACCTAACGGGTAACCGGGGCTCCGGCTCGACGTGCAGGAGAAGGAACGGGGTGGTTTTTAGTCAGTAAGAGTCTGACACTCCCTTCCGCCTCACCCAGGCGGGAGCAGTCATTCGATGATTTTCCCCCCTTAAAAAAAAGAACTTTCAGTAATTACAATGAAAAGAATAGATACTACACTTTGATCTTAGCCACAGGGCCGAGAAGCGATACATATACACTGGCGCGCGGGGTAGTCATTCATCGCGGAGAATCATAAACCCGCGATTCAGGAAACCGCTCACAATGTACAGCGCTATCTAGTGTTGTAAAATAGAACTATTAAGGCAAGGGAGGGATGTGAAATGAATAGATGCTGTGGCCATCTAAAGTCGCAGTGTAAATTGGTTTGAACGAAATCCGCTAGAGGATTATAGTATCGTGTGCACGTTTAAATACCGCTAAGATGTACTTACGATCTGCCCTACTACCCTTTTAGTTTCTTATTGAAGTATTGTAACATTCATGGGAAAGTAGAGGGAACCAGATCACAAGACAGATCACCTTTGCGTTGGACTGATCAAGTCAAATTAGCAACAGGAAGCCTAGTGTCAGACTGCGCCAGACAATCTACAAAGAGGGAAACATGGCGGGAGATCGTGATGGATCAAAGCAATATCGGCCTCCAACACAAATGTGGTCGCCTCACAAGCCCTATACTTAATAATATAGGTACTCTTTGCCTTAACGTGATCACGACCGCTCTGCCAAGAACGAAACGATAGTGAAGATGAAGAGTGTAACATATGCAGTAATAGATAACATTCCTTTTGGCTGAGAAAATAGTGCCTTTAATGGATTTTGTTCGGATAGGTGTCTTACCATGCATAATAATATCATTTAGCCAAAATGGATTGTTAGGATAATTGTCTTGAGCCGCGGTGGACTTAACGGCTTGCTGGGACCCGTCAGTTACAGTCTGACACTCCCTCTCGCGTCATTTGGGCAGTAGAAGTCATTGGACGATCCCCTCCCCCCAAAGGATAATTTGTCTTCCACAAAAAAAGGGTTAACGAAAATAAAAAACACTCTGTTATTTATCTTTAATTTTTATTGTAATTGTTATATTGAATACAACTTCAACAACATTGTCTACATAACTAACACAGATAGTAAATACATCAGCGACATTGTTTAATATTTATCGTCGTTTTACAGCTGAAATTAATCACCGATTTCAACTTAAATTCTTTGGATTAAACTGTCAAACACCAAGCGGTCACCGGTGACCGCGACCTATTGTTCTTTAATTGTGTCTATAAAACCGGTACTCGACGAGTTAAGATCGATTTTTAAAATAGGTTTTTTTTTTAATAACTATCGTGAGACGTAGTGAATTAAGTAGTGAATGGTTAATCAGAATACAGAGAAAAGCTCTACTAGTTTCGAGTCACAGAGGGACTCTTCCTCATTGGTAGCGTGCGCGATCATGGCGACGTCGCGCAGATTACTCGAACTTTTTACAGTATATTTACGTGAGAAACCTGTATTTTTTAGTTAAAATTAGTTCTTATTAAATTTCTGTCAAAACCCTAGCTCGGTCCAAAGATTTTGAATTACTATCGGTTTTTAATTTTGGCCGTTATTAAACATGCAGTATTCTTATTTATTATTACATCATCATAATAACTTTTAATAGTACCTACAGATTACAGAAGTGTATATTCACTACAAATATGTAGCATAAATATAAAAAGGAAATGTACAGTAAAAGTAAATACAAAGTTGAAGAAAAAATTTAGTATAAATATGTGTATATAGAACTTTTATAAGTAGACAGATATATTATAATACATATTAAATAGATATTCTTAATTCAATATAGTAAACTTACACATACTTACTTAATAAAAAAAAGTATCGAGACCAGTACAAAATACATATGTAATAATTTATATGTATAGAAAATATAGTATAACTACAAATAGATATATACTAAGTAGATACGTTCATATAATTACGGAGGTTTCACAATAAAATATTTATTTTAAAATCTACAAAAACCGTGGAACTATATACCGGGGTTATAATTTCATATTTTACAGCTCGGGTCAATCTGGCCACACCTATCATAGATAAAATAGTATGTTTAAGAAATAACATGACATTTTTAATTAAATTAATATTGTCTTTGCTATATTTTTAACAATGTCCCAGCATTTATTTTTTAATAAATTTAACTGACAAGCTGTCACATTTGACAGCTGTCAAACATTCTGATTTATTAATTGTTATTTCTTAGATCGTTATTTATTATTTAAAATTAGAAGGATTTACCTTCAAAGGTGTAGACATTTTTTTAAATAAATGAAAATAAACTACCTATGTCATATCATTCCCTAAACACTATAAACTTCAACTATTAAATAATATTTATTTATAGAGAACATAGATAGAGCTACATTCTACAATAACAAACCTTGTGTGCCTATACGTTAGGTTCAGTTTACAATATTTTTGAGTAAATCACTTTATATCTACGTATACATTTACTTTTCAAACTTTTACCTAGATGTGACGTAACAGATATTTATTCCAAGTGTCAACCAAAAATACTAAGCCCTTTTGAACACAAGTTCGTATAATACGCGTATCGTAATTCGCGCGCCAATCTAAAAAAACGAGGTTTTAACATTCTAACCCATAACATCACGACTTTTATCCCAGAAGGGGTAGGCAGAGGTGCACATTACACAATAACACCCACTTTTCACTATTTATGTTATGAATCTCATGTAATAGGAGCCTATTGCCATATACTGGACACAATTTCAAATTCCGTGCTACTACTGAGAATTTCCAAACCCGGTGATACTTTGCCCGACCCGGGAATCGAACCCGAGATCCCTTGCTCAGCAGTCGCACTTGCGACCACTCAGCCAACGACGTAGTCTCTAACAATGTAACAATGTTTTTATTTTGCCCTATGACACGAAGCAAAACGTATGAGATGTTTATTGTCATTATGACAGTCGAATGCCATAAGGATCGATTAGTAATAGTAGGTAATCGTCATGACATTTGACTACGTTTCTTTGCGATGACGCCATAACATGTGTGAACACAATAACCAAATGGCAACATTTCCTCAAGTCACGACAATAAATAAACAAAATTTTAAAATTACATATTAAACTCATCCTTTCTCTTTCTTCCTTCAGGGTAGTTTCCTCACCATAATAGCGAGGGCCTCGTGAGGAGGAGGGACATTGAAGACGGGAGTGCCGGAGGAGTCAAGGTACTCATCGTACCGGACTGTACGGATCACTTCCATGCCTAAAGAGCTGCAGATGCGCTGCGAGAATGCGCCTGTTGCATCCGCTTTGAACAGCTGGAAAAAAGGAAAATGTAGATAAGGTTTTGACGATAGAAAATGAATTTTAAGAAATTTTTCAACCATGTAACCCTCAGGTCCAATTACCCTCCCTTCCCCAATCTCCCCAATTCCTGTATCCCCAACGATCCTCAAACCCTTAATCTCCAAAAGGCCGGTAATGCACTTGTAACGCTTCTGGTGTTCCAGGTGTCCATGGGCGACGCCGATTGCTTACCATCAGATGACCCGTGTGCTAGTTTACCGGCTTATGTCATAGAAAAAAAAATTTTCAGTGAGAAAAATCAAAACAAAATATTATTATCTACTACTAAGTTATTTGGACCAAGAAAATTACCATAAAGAACTTGGTAAAAACTATACAGAGCTTTAACAGCATTTGCAACTGATTAATATGTGGTTTTCTCTGCTGAAACTCTTCTAATTTCTGTAAGGATGTGTCTTTTAATTGGAACTAAAAAAGATAGTATAAACTTAATGGATTCTACAAAACACGCACATAAATACTATAATATTTTTTCATCCAAATTTCAATTATTTTATCGAAGTACATCAAAAAAACACAGTTCAATATTTGTTAATAAATAACAAACATTAACTGCGTGACTATCGTAAGTATTTACTGCATACACATTACTTTGACAGAAATAGGTCAGTGGAGCAAGAGAGGGGTTCCGACAGCGCGGTGCCAGATCTATACCATGGCATTAAAAGAAGGGGAACTCGTATCAAAACAATAAGAAAATTAATGACGTCACCCACATAAAATCATACCCAAAAAGGACAGAACAGGTCAAATAAGGATTCTACAATCGACAAACCACGATAGAAAAATAAGTATGATTTTAATAGTATTGTTTAATCGAAAGATATTAAAACACTTCATTATTTGTATAGAAAAGAAGGTTTTATAAAAGTTGTACTTGTGTAAACTGTAAAATAGTTTGTAGGCAGATGTACATATAGCTCCCATTTTCAATCTGTTAATGGTTTCAAATATATGGATATGTTCTGTCTCATATCGATCTTTTATTTTATTTTATTGATTTGGCTCACCAACAATTGATTACACTTATACAATATAAGGTTACATTTACGAAAACTTAAATACTAGTGCATCAATCTATTATCATCTTATTCATTACTGTACCTTAAATCCATTTTGTTTAGCAATATCTATGCTGCGGGCCATCAGCTCCTTGGCCAGTCCGCGACCCCTTGCCTGCTGGTCCACTGAGATTATTCGGCATTCCAGAATTTTGTCCACCTGTAATTCATACGAAAAGGATTTATCAGATACAGTTCATTTATCAGTTTAAACTGATCTTTTTGTTTCAAATTGCAAACAGCAAGGTTTCTGAAATTACTCGTTTATCATTCATTAATTTATTTCAGTTATAAAACTGTTCTAAGTTCAAAGATAAAACTGACAAGTCAAGTTTGTGATCAAATTCTTTATGTTTATGATAAAAAATAAGTGAGAGGATTACAAAATATTATACAACTCACTTGAAATGTATTGAACAGGTCCAGCTCCTGGCTGACGGAGTACAGGATGGTGAATATCTTGTTGTACTTCTCATCAGACGATTGCTGGATCTTCTCGATAGACTGCTCGATGTCTCCGGGTCATAAGATGCCGTTTAAACCCACTCCCAACACCTGGAAAGAAATTTTATTTTAAGGTTCACTTTTAGGTTACTCTCTTTATAGATGATCTTTCTCTTTAGAGATAAATAAAACAGATGTTACTACTGCACTCAATATGTATTGCCACTATAATGTATAGGCGACGAGTAAGTGACGCGCACAATGCGGTTACATGTTTATACGCTTATGCTGTTACAGTTTGTGTTCTATGCGCTACGTAATCCCTACAATGTCCTAATGACAGTTTTAAAAAACTTGCATTTGTTTTAACATCATACAATAATAGAAGCAGATCAGTACCTTTAGCCAAACGCCACTTTAGCGCTTGTCTACAGAGAGAGTAGAAATCAAAATGTATGGGGATGACACTGACAAGTGTCAAAATTTACGTCAATTCCATATAATTTAGTTTTCTACTCTACAAGTAGACAAGCGCTAAATGGCATTTGCCTACAGCTGCTGTTACCGTATCTCCTTCAACAGCAGCGACGGACAGTCCATCAGCGATAGTGACGGCGCAGAGCCTCTCCAGTGCCGCGTGAGGCTCCCCCCTCTCGCACAGGGAGACTGCCTTGTTTAGAGGCTCGTCAGCGAAGAAGTTGTTCCGCAGGTGCAGTATCACAGCCTCGCTCATATCAGGGGTTATCGTGACAAAGCGCGCCATCTGTACAGAGTAATTGGTATTTCATTATGACAAGCGTCTTTAAATCTAAGGGGATTATGCCGGACTCATCATGACCACGAGAATTGAAAGTATCAAGAAATATTAAGATCTATCTTATAATCCAAACTATATACGAACTCATAGATCTTGACAGCACCGTCACAGTATGGTTTGGACAGACTGGACTGGAAAGCATCGCTGTAGCATTAATGTTCATGGTGGTACTTAATGTCTTATTTTTGTCCATTAACTTAGTCCGAGGATAGGACCGAGATGTTACCCAACAACAGCCACTACTCTAAATTTAGATGCTAAGGTAAATCTAGAAGACAAAAGTAGAATACTTGACAGTGGCATGAGGGTGAGAGCTCGTACTTTAACTCACGTCACAAAAGCAACCATTTATTAAGTTTAGCGATATAATAACTAATTCAATGACGAAGTTATTGCATAACACTTAATGGTAAGGGAATATTTGATGACAGACCTAAATTCCAGGTCACTTGAATTACTGATTGGCATTTCCTAAGAACTTTTACTTTATCGATAAATTTGGTAAATAATGTATGACGATACAGAAGGGTACGAATTCCATATAAGTGTCTGATGACTTCAGGAAACTCTCCTTCCACACGGTATTATATATTATTTCTTATATTTTATTTATTTATTTATTTAATAATGTATGTACACACAGACAGCACAGAGGATAACACATATATAAAATAAGAGTACAAAGGTGCTACTTATTCCTGTTGGAATTTCTTCCAGTAGACCTGTAGAAATTATATACATTTGTGATTTTCAATTACAAATGTATATAATTTTTTTACTGCCCATTTCACGGCAGACTTGAACATGTATCCATCACCACCATAGAAATACTTTATTATATCTATGGTACCTACTAATAGAATAACATATCTGTACATGTCACTTGGTTTTTAGCGTGAAATAAAGTTTTTTCTTCTTTCTTATTTCTATTTTATTTTAATGTAACACATAACATAAAATCACGCCTTTTATCTCCGAAGGAGTAGGCAAAGGTGCATTTCAACATTATTCCACTGTACAATGTAACACCCACTCTTCACTATTTATATTATGAGTCCTATGTAATAGGGGGTGAGCCTATTGCACTGTACCGGGCACAATTCCAGACCCCGTGCTGCTAATGAGAATTAAAAAAAACCAGTAGTACTTTGCCCGACCCGGGAATCGAACTCGAGACCCTTTGCCAGGCAGTCGCACTTGCGACCACTCGACCAACGAGGCAGTCACACACATGTTTGCGCAAAAAAAAATGTCGCTTACCCCCTTTTGGCTGGGATCCATCACTACATGGTTAGAATTGGGTTTTTTTCTGCGTCTAACCATATATTAAACTGTCAAACACCAAGCGGTCACCGGTGACCGCGACCTATTGTTCTTTAATTGTGTCTATAAAACCGGTACTCGACGAGTTAATAAGTCAATTTCGTAAAAAATATTGCTGTCCACCTTTTGGCCAGAAGCCATCGATATGTATAATTATTTAGATGACAGAGATATCCTTGGTATAAACACAAGCTGACTAGTACTTAATCAAACTGTAAACATTGATGGTGTAGCTGTGTAGCTGTGTAGTACGAGTGGCCACGAAGTTGATAGCTTTATATATTTTCCAATACATTTAGCGAGAGATGGGTGTGTCGATACGACGTCGGTACGATTCGGACCGACCTCTCCCGAGGTCTATCGAACGACTTCTTTGTAATATTGTAGTAAGGTAACAAGACGCTAGTTGTTTCAGAGAAGGTGCACAGAGGGTGTAAAGCAGTGTGTTTGATTATGTTGCGGTGTCGCTAAGTGGAGAGTGGAATAGCAGATATGATTGGGTCTGTTATCTTCCATAAATTGGTTAACTTAATTTAAACTGGCAGACATTTATAAAAAATGTTTTGTTATATTTATGTAAAATTATTGTCACAATTCAAACCATTAGGGGCCAATTCTTCCAACGCCAGTCGCCAGATAATTTTTAAATGAGGAGTAACTTTAAACATTTGACTTTCACACTCAAAACTGTCAAATTTCAATTTTATTCTAAATTTAAAATAAATAATTGATTGAAAAAGCGGCGCTAAGGCATTTTAGTAATGACAAAACAAATTGTTTATTTTGAACCATCGACCCATTTATATTATTATTGTTTTTAGGATTTTCTGCTGTGTCATGGTACGTGGGTGTATTTACAAACATACAAAAATGCAAGTCATTTTTCTAGAATCATTACAACAATATTATTCTCTAAAACAGTGTAGGTATTCACTAAGTACCTATGTACCATTAAATGTATACTATATACTGTTAACTCCACCTCAATGCCCGCAAAGTGAAGAGAATCAAATGAATAATGTAATACTATGAAGCGTTCGCGAGAGTTACTCTTTTATATCTTTACATTTTTTATGACAATACATTTAACTTTACAAAACTTGATCTTTGAAACAAAATTATGGTTAAACCTTTAATTGATTACCTAAGTATGTCCTAGTACCTATGAAACCCCCTATTTAAAAATATAAACCAAATTAATCAATATACAATCAGCATATACATATTTCAATCAAACCATAATTTGGTACTTTTGTAGCGTCAACAAATATACAATAAATAATAGTCTGCCAGTCTGTCCGTCAGTGAAGGTAGGCGCTCATTCCAAAATGTAGATTTGATTGAAGACCAACGAGCAAGAAACTCCATTCGTTACTCTTTTAAAAAAGTGTGTTTTACAATGTCACTGATACATAATTATTATCAATCAATAGATATCATTAATAAAATTCCACATACAAGAAAATTCCAATGTGCCACTATCAAACATAAAATCTTGAGTTGGATTGGTCAGTTAAAAGTATTAATAAACATTTTTTGCAAAGATTAGGGACGGAGTTTGCTTCCTCGATTTTCTCTATTCGAAACTACACTTTGGACCTTGCTTCACTGATAGACAGACGGACTGACGGATAATTCAATTTAGACGTTTTAAAATGGGATTCATTAAATAATTGTTTTAACTTATCATTACATAAATTCTTAACAACTCAATCTATGAAATCACACCCAGCGAAAGGCATTAGACCCACCCTCTTAATGTAGAGAACGGCTGATAACAGAGGGTGGTCGATAACACGATAAAATGAAACTCATCAACTAATAAGGTTATACACAAAGACATGATTTGAATCGTTTGATGTCATCACATAACGTAGAATTATATCTATATGAACGCATCATTAACTTCGTGACGTCCCCACCCTGCCCCCGTCACTGAAACAGGGTATTTTGCTACCAAATGATGACTGCCACAAACTTCACAGTTCGTTAAATCAGGTGGTCGTGCAGGATTTGTTTTATCAGCGAATGTTATTTGCTACGCTTGTATTTTTGCACAGAATAGTAGGTGAAGTCCAGGTAATCATAGATAACTTTGTTTATATCTTAACTGTACGTATCTGTTGGCTTTCCATTGATTCTGCCTACCCTATTAGAACACAAACGTGTTAATATGTTGTATGTATGATTTACGTAAATCATTATACCAATAAAATATTGTCGGCAAATGAACATGTTACCTTTCCTAAATCCTACGTTCTAAATTAAGATTTGACTGACAATCGTCTCTAAAAAGTAACACTTTTACTTCATCTACCAATAAGTAGTATATAAGAACATTCATCATCATCAACAGCCTATAAATGCCCACTGCTGAGCAAAGCCTCTTCTCACACGGAGAAGGTTAGAGCATTAATCACCACGCTTGCTCAATGCGGGTTGGCGATTTCAAACTTATAATTAGAAATTATAAGTCCAGGTTCCCTCACGATGTTTTCCTTCACCGTTTGTCAGTGGTGTCTAAATAATCTTAGAAAGTACATATAACTCAGAAAAAGTCACATTGGTACTTGCCGTTGGTAGGTTTCGAACCCGCACCCTCATGCATGAGAAGTGGGCGTCTTTAACCTCCGGGCCACCACGACATTAAGAACATTTATAACCAACAATATCCAACTAAATAGAAACTCCTACAACCAACTAAACATCACCAACAGTTACAAACACTCTCCATAACACACACACACAACATTGTCATAGAATTGTATTCAATAGCCTATAACAAAGCCTAAAGACACAGTACATCAGGCTATTGTAGTAAACAAATGTCTAGTCTATGACGGGGAGGCTCCCGCTTTGATAATTAATCATTTCACATGCCTTGTCGCCTGCAAGGACGCTGCGCCGCTACGAAGCTACGACGCTACGGGCTACGAGCTACGAGCTACGACAATGCATGTCTATTTTGTAGTTTCTACACTTATAGTAAAGTTTCTAATTTAAACTTTGTATTGTTGGTTAGTCTATGGATGTCTTGTCTATGTCACTAGGGAAGGTTCAGAATGATGTATTGTGATTTTTTACGTTTCTAGGCATGTAGTATTTAGTTTATCTTATGTTATAGTTCATAATCTTCTACTCTCTGTACTCTTAACCCGACCTCTTTAACGAACAAAAAGGTCTCACGAATTTAATTAAAAACAGTTTGAAACTCCATTAAAGTTAAAATAAAAAAGTTGGCGATCCAGATCCCGTCGCTTTATAGTTTCGCAATTCGCAGTCCTTATTGAATAGGCTTTGTAGCTGGGAGGGAGGGAGGTCTGAGAGGAATTCCGCCCGTTCCCTCAGGCCCTCACAAGGCGATATTGCGAGCCATTAGCCAAGAAATTTTTGACAAGAACAGAATTACAGAGAGCTTTAGAGCTTGTTTGATGAATGTTCGGCCCCTCTAGGCTGGTTTAATTGCTAAAATAATTATCATAATAACTTTAGAAACTTGTATTATAACTTTCGTGAGACATACTAAATAAATTATTATGTTTTCGGCTTACTCACGTAATTATTTGACGAGGCTCTATATACATAGGCTCACCCCTATTACATGGGACTCATAACATAAATAGTGAAAAGTGGGTGTTACATTGTATAGTGACATTAAGTGCCGAAATGTGCACCTCTGCCTACCCCTTCGGGGATAAAAAGGCGTGATGTTATGTTATGTTATTTGACGAGGAACTCGACTAGTTTCATGAGCAGCATTTCGCGACCTGCGACGCGGCGACTGTCGCGCTGCTACTAATAGTCTAAACTAGTTAAGCTCCTCGTCAAATATTTACGTGAGTAAGCCGAAAACATAACAATTTACTTTAAAAACTTTTGAATTGGTCCTGAATTATTTTCTAATCTACACAGTTCTATAATTCTGAAAAAACATGTCTCATTGTATATGTCATCTTTCTACTTTACTACTCAAATGTTAGATCATCTACATACATCATACTACATCAAAATATATACGTAATATTCATGTTAAAAATCATTTATTCAAATAAAAAACTTAAATTAAAAACTAACTATTACTTAAATAAAATTAAAACTAAATAACTAATAATGACGTCGATGCGGACGAATTTTTCGATACTTTATGTAAATAGTTGTTTTTGGTTTTCTTTTAATTAATTTTAATCTTAAGATGTATATATTTAATTAGTAATATTTAGTTTCATGTTATGTATTATACATAGCAAAATTATGTTGTATGCATATAATTGTATATCATATGCTTTGATAACGTGTAGTAAATAAAGGTATAAACATAAAATCATGTAATCACATTAGTATTAATAGTTCAATTTCTTGAAAGCCATTCTTAATGCCATCCTTCATATGAAGCCAAAATGAAAATGGACTTTATGTGAAAAGTCGTAAAGTTGGAAATTCATTGGAGAGGAACGAGATCGGGACCTGATTACTGAAGTGGATCCTATCGATTCTTGGCAGCGGCAATGTCGAAGACAAATTGATTTGGATAATACTATAAACGCTTTTCCAGAACGTATTACCTTCGAATTTGAGCACTCTTTAGTTAAAAAGCTTCGAGATGTGACTTTGAAGTGTGGAAAAGCCATGCTTCGGTACGAATGGGCCGGCTCGACCGGAGTGATACCACGGCCTCACAGAAAACCGACGTAAAACAATGCTTGCGTTGTGTTTCGTCGTGTGAGTGAGGTTACCGGAGGCCCAATTACCCCCCTCCCCAATGTCCCCAATCCCCGAATCATCCACAATCCTCAAATTCCCAATTCCCAAAAGGCCGGTAACGCATTTGTAACGCCTTGGCGCTGCTGCACAAGTTATATGTTCTTTTTTAAGATTATTCAGACACCACTGACAAACGGTGAAGGAAAACATCGTGAGGAAACCGGGACTTGTAATTTCTAATATGTTATGCTTATGTA